AATGATGTTAACTTAGTTGTGTGTGTTACACTGAAATGATGACAACAGACTTGGATGGAGTGCAACTCCCAGCATAGAAACTATCAGGAATATAATGCAGTTAAGTTGCTGCTGACAGCATCTTTACAAAGAGGTCAATTAGCATAGATTTGACTCCAGAGTTGTGAAAACACAACATTGTCACAGTTAGTTCAGAGGTTTGTCTAAATTATGTTACAGAGGCGCTGTGCCCTCATACTCCTGATTTGCGCCCTCTTACCAAAGTGCTGATTGAACCCTTAGAGGTCCGCCGTCACGCCAGCGTGATATAAACATGTGACATGTTCAAGACATCACAACAGGAAAATTATCATATATACAGTGATGCCGTCAACTTCTCTCGAAAGTACAGACTTTAAACTCCCTCCCAGTTTTTGTTTCATGTTGATAGACCACGTAAAATCCGGAGATATGATGTTATGAACATGCGTGACAAAAAACGTGTGTAAAATATAGGCATATGAAATACGCGATGCAGGCATCGCGTTTCTTTCAAAATCCGTCATTTTTTGTGATCAATTTTTCTGTGATGGACAAAACAACAGTGAAAGAAAGTCCCTGGAAGTGCGGGTCCTGTGATGTGGCTGTCTGCCTTATTTTGGAAAGAAATTATTTTCAGGAGTGGCACAGATAAAAACAGAAAGAAAGCCACACCTGCTTCGTATATAGTTGCAGATATAGTTGTATATAGTTGTATATATTTGTATGTAATTGATTTTATATTAAATTTATCTTTTCAAATCCACATCTGCAACCTATGATTACATGTTCAACTTTCAAAATGCTTCGTTAAGCATGTTTGTGGTTTTTATTGTAAATAATACATTTCTTCAAATCGGATTTTGTATTTTTTGTGAGTTTTTGACCCCAAAATGTTAATATAGTTGGTTAAAGTGAAAAAATAATGGTCAAATCATATAGAGAATGTTGTGCTGAAAAAAAAAGATGCCAAACATGGGCATAGTAAACATGTTTTAATGTGGTATATAAAGACAAAACTAAAAGTATGCAAAACGGCCAAAACAGGCCAAGACGTCTAAGGGCTAGTAACACTTGGGCCATGTTCTTACATGCTGCCGTAGTAGTACATGTATGTGTATCATGGTGCAGTACAGGCATGTAAGAACATTCCAAGTACTAGTAAATAGAAGTTTTGCCAATACTAGTATTTGTCATGTTTTCATTTACAGGTTACAGTTGTATTATAATTCGAACCAAACAACAATTGCTCAACAGTTGATAATGTCTTGATTTTTGAAGTTTCATGAGCTAAAATTTCTCTCTCAGATAACCTCAGAATGTCCCATTTAAGCTTCAAAGGCTTTGCACAGCAATTGAGCAGTCAAACTAGAGACTATAGCTCGAGATATTTGCATGATATTGACTTTGTAATTTAATACTAAGCCAGAGAAAAATATATGTCTATTTCCAAAAATGTCAACAAGTATTAGAAGTTATGTTATGTTTCCTTATGGTTTTGATGAAAATGATTAACATTGTATTGTGATTTCACATTGTTGCTGTTACCTGCAATTTTTGTCTAATCTGACTGATGCTTATTTTGCTGAGGAAACCTACCAGCATAAGAGTAAAAGATTAAACAAATTCTTTCTGTTTCTCTTTCTCCCAGAACTGAAGAAAAATGGCTTTTTATCCGCTCTTGCTGAGACCCCTCTCACACCGGGACCACCAAAGAAGAAGCAGAAAATCAGCCATCATAAAAACAGCCACCTGCCTAATCATAAACTTCACCAAACCCCTCACAACCACAAACCCAGCCCCAGCCATGTCTTTTTTGAAGACAGCAGTGACTTTAGTGCCACAATGCCCAAAAGAAATAAGTACAGTAAGTCCAAACAAGAAAGCGGAGGCAGCGCAAAACCGTGGAAACCTAAGAGGCCTGTGCCCACCTCTAGAGACCCACTCCCAAGAAGTAAGCTAATTTGTGATGAAGCTGATGACTTTCCCAGAGGAGGAGGCACAGGAGAGAGCATACAGAAGAAGAAGAGAAAAAAGAGGATGAATAAAATGAAGCAGGTTCCTTTCGGACTAACAGGGGGACACAAAGACAGCAGACCAGATTATCTGTGCAAGACTGTAGGAGGGATGACGCCGGGGCCACAGTCAAAGACGGACAAAGCAAAGAAGAATCAAAAGAGGAGAGATCGAAACCTCAGGAAGGCTGACAAACAGTTTGGTGCAGAGATGTACCCAACAGACGAGAATCTGTTCGCCATCAAACAAAGGAAACGCAGGAGATAGTTTCTGTGATGTGCAGATCTTTAAGACCAACAGTTACGATCATGACATTTAGGGATGTGACAGACATTTTGTTGACTCAGGTCTCACTAAAAAAGAGTTACAGTCATCGTCGTGGCTTTAGGAGCCTTTACTTGACCTTTTTTCACAGAAACCATTCTGACACGTCAGCAGGCAATGCACAAGTGTCAATAGTGAAGTTAATGACATGAGTTACATGTAGATGCCTCCGTTCAGGTGTCGTTCTTGCCAGCTCACTGTCACATTTAAATAGAACAGAGCTATAACACCTGTGCTTTTCCACTTATGAAGATGTTCAAGCTACTTTTTCACAGTTTCACCTAGTAGTTAGTTTGAGAATTATAGCTATCCTCCATTTCAAACTGTTCAAACAGCAGACATTACTGTTAATATGTTTGGAAATGGACATTGTAATAAAACAACACACAGCTCACTTACAGTTAGTTCGACAGACATTTTCACAGTTCTGTGCGTTCTTAGTGAAACTGGATGACTAGAAGAGGAGCTGCTAGTAATGTACCTACAGTGTTTACAGTAGATTCTTTCAGAAGTGATTGTATATTGTTTTATTTCTTTGACATTAGTTTCTAAACACTGCAAACTTTTAATTAAAAAGAGAATGCTCTCTGTAATGCAGTCAGATCATTTCCTAGTGCCTCTGCTCTGAACACAGATTTATAGTCGTTGCTGCTGTTGGAACCAAAAGATGGTGAATGTTTTTTAAATATACTTTCATTTTGAACTGAAGGGATGCCCTTTTTTCTGTAACGCATTCATTTTAATCAACCTAAATGTTCGATCACCCTGTAAATGCATCTATTTCTTATATTTGATGCAAGTTTGCAGGTAGTCACTCGCCCACTTCTGAATAACAGGCGTCACTGACACGCAGCTCTGACAGTATCAGCTTTTCATCATCATCTGTTTAAAATCAGTTGTACATGGTCTTATTTGTTGTGGTTATAACAAAACGAAATCCTAAAACATTACATGAAAGAATTTGAAACAGCTCCTTGATAACATGAGTAATGATTACCCAAAGACTTCTGGAAAAATAAAACTTGAATCTGACACTTCAATATGTGCTGCTTCATTTGGTAACGTTTAAGTGTTTGATAATAGTTTACATGACATTTATGTTTGAGATGTATTTAAACCATTTGATTCCAGTTACTAGATGTGTTTTTTCCACTAGATGAATGTGTCATCTGAAGGTGATGACAAGTGAACCGTCCTGTTGACGTAAGTAAATGAACAAATCTATGTTTTGAAGGGAAAAAAAAGAGACACGGATCACGAACATACAGAGAAGCTCCAGGCTGATAATGCCAGCATAATTAAGAACTCAATTAAACTTTAGACTGTAAAGTTAGTTATCCATTCATTGTAGGGGAACGTTTTTCTCAGAGCTTTTCTTTTGGTTTATTCGTATTTCTTTTTTGTATGTCACAAATTAGAATTATTATTATTATGCAAGTCACAACTTGTTTGTTGTTTTGAATTCAGATTACAGGTCAATGCATTTACACTCCTCCACAGCCTAAATCACCACAGTGCAGTTATGTTCATACAGTCTGTTATGGCAGCATTTGGTTTTTGTTTTTCAATTCTTAAACAACCTTTTGGGTTGCACCGTAACTCCTCAAGAAACCTGAAAAAGTGCAAAACTAGAATATAATACAAGTGTTACGTGGACTATATCACTGTTGATTGTGATGGTTTTTGTGAAGTGCTCTGAAAATGATCATTTATTTTGTATTGATTCATGGCTCTCGCCTTGTTTCCAGGATGCTCTAAGTATCAGAGACTGGAGGATACTGTCACAAAGTTGCCTTCAGCCAGCAGAGCCAGACATGTTGGAAGAGTAGGAACCCACAAACTAGAGACTTGACAAACAGGGTTGACCTCAGATAAATGAGTGTGAATGGGAACACCGATCAACAAATCATCAGCATGAAGCGACTGAGAAAAGGCTGCAAACTAGGAGGAAGAGGGCAAGAATTGCTGACAGGGCCAAGATCTGAACCTGGGGTAATAATAGTAGGAGACGCCACCATCAGTTATAGTAGTAAAATCATCAACCTGCTGCTGTAGTGAACTGAGAATGACTGAAAATGTCTACAGGTTACTATCTGAAAACCAGATTGTAGTTAGTTTGGGAGACGAATAATGAAACAGGTCCTTAAGTTTTAAAACAAACTCTGGATGTTAAGTCCAGGCCGCCACCAACAGTAGCTTTCCAAAACCTGCAACTCAAAACAAGTTAACTGAAAATAAATTGAAATTTAATCTCTTGGAAACAAAAGCATCTCTTCAGAGCTGATGACCTTCTTCTGAGGCGCCAGGGAATTAAAACACTCAGATAATGTTCTGTATTGTCGTCACCATCCATCGTTCTCCCACGCAGACAGAGTGAAGTCACATCCTGGGACTAAGTCCAGCCAACGTTCACTGGAGCAGGAAGACAAACCATCGCTGCTTGACAACACAGGAGGATAATTTCCCCCCCCTCTCTCTCTCTCTCTCTCTCTCTCTCTCTCTCTCTCTCTCTCTCTCTCTCTCTCTCTCTGCCTCTCTCTCTGTCATCTACTCTGTTGGGCTTCATGAGGCTTCAGTGGATGCACTAATCAATGCTGGAATCAAACTCACACCACATTCGCTTCCCCCTCCTTCTATTTCCATCCTTCCCCCCCAACAGTGGTAATCATTCAGTGTTCCTCTTATCCAGCTCATCCTTCCTGACTGCACTGGGGCCTGTTCAATGAAGCAAGTTTACAAAATAAACCAGACTTATTTCAGTTAGTCTGACTGACTTACTTTCTTGTTTATTTCGGTTCCAGAAAGCAAATTCAACATAGTTAAAGCTCAGTTATTCTAGTGACTTCTGGCAAACTAATCAGGTCTTGGACAGAGTTCCTATAACAAGGTTTTACTACTCTCTCTTTGGCATGCTACCATATTATTAGGGTCCGAGCACCCAAAAGGGTGCGAAGACCCTGTTAGAACTGCTCGGATTCTTCTTCTTATTGTTCGTGACAAAGAGACGCGTTTTTGAGGCCCTTAACGTACTCGAAAACTCACCAAAATCACCACACACATCAGACCCGGCAAAAAATGTTATAATTTGGAAGAAAAATACACACCTCACTACAGAAATTGCTCCATAGCGCCATCTTGAAAATTTCAATGGAGTCCTGTCGGAAGCATGTTTGCCCTAGAGCTACGCAATTTCAATTTCATAGGCATATAGAGCTGGTTGGCACAAACAAAAAAATCTGCTGGACCAAGGTCTAAAACGCAACACGGCTCAGCTGCGCCCCCTAAAATATTTCTACAGAGTCCCATCGGTGCTACGTTTCACCTAGAACTACGAAATTCGCCACACATATGTAACAACTCGGGACGCACAAAAAAGTCCATTGGCATGTTTCTGTAAACCCAACAGGAAATCCGCCATGTTGGAAAAAGGGCAAGCATGCCGGGCCATTTTCGCTCAAAAATGGCCATTTTTGTCTATTTTCAAAATCAAACTCCTCCTAGGGGGTTCGTCGTACACACCTTAAATTTGGTGAGCACAAACTACATGACGTGGTGATTAAAAGTTCTTCAAACGCTCCGCAGATGAGGCCCGATTTGGAAATGGTGGCCCGTCCAATTTTGATCAATGGCCATTTTGTCCATTTTCGCGGTGGTTTTTGCATTCAACTGAATATTGTCGGAAGGTCGTTTCACCTACACTGAGAAGATTCGCTGGGCATGTGTAACAGCTCAGTACGCACAAAAAGTCAATCAGTACCAACAGGAAGTCCGCCATTTTGAAAAAAAACACAGTGACAATTTTGGCGATTGTGGGTGACTTCTGGACATTTTTGGCCATTTTCAAAATCTATCTCCTCCTGCAGGGAAGGTCATACACACCTGAAATTTGGCCAGCACAGACTACAGGAGTTGGAGATTAAAAGTTAGTAAAACGCTCTGCAAAAGTCTGATGGCGTGGAAATGGCGCCCCCCTGAATTTGGCCACAGCGCCATAAAACGCCATAACACGAGACGTGCTGTGTAACTGGCCTGTGTGTGCTCCGATCGGCCTGAAACTTTACACGCGTGCTCTGAGTCTCAGCCACAGTGTGTTGCCAGCATGCCACGCCATGCACGCCGCCTCTGCTCGCCATTAAACAGGAAGTGAAGTGTAAATAGCCCATACATGCTCCAATTGCTCTCAAACTTCACATGTTGCATCACACTCTAATCCTCATCACAGACATATGACGACTCTCACTCACAACGCCAGCTGAAGGCGTGGCCACAACTCCCTAAAATGCCAGAATATGAGACGTACAGTGTAACTGGCCTGTATGTGCTCCAATCTTCCTGAAACTTTACGCACGTGCTCCGAGTCTCAGCCAGAGTGCGTTTCCACCACGGTCAACACGCACGCCGCCGTGGCTTGCCACTAAACAGGAAGTGGCTCGTAAATACGCCTGACGTGCTCCGATCTGGTCAAAACTCGACATGCCGGATCAGAGTCCCACCCAGAGCACGTTTGCACCACACCCCGCTATGCACGAAGGCCGACAAGCGTCGGACGAGGACCCGTCTATCGCCGCTTGCGGCTTTAATTTGACTTTATTACCCCAAATCAGTCCAAAAATTTAATTTTACAGAAAATCAACTTAAGAATAGCACACACTCAATTATCGTGACTACTTTAACCTGCATCAAATTAGCCTCATTGCACAAACCTGAACTGACCTTTCAAGAACCGCTTCACCCCCGACTGATGAGGCTTATTAACTGTAAGGCTTATTCAAGTCAGGTGTTGGATTTTAATTCCCACTTTTCTTGGTGCACTTTTTAAAACAGGCCCCTGACTTGACAACAGTACAACAGTTCTTACTGAGACACTTCATCCATCCATCCATTATCTATACACCGCTTAATCCTCACTAGGGTCGCAGGGTGAGACAATTCAACCTAATTTTAATTTTGTGAATGAGGAAAGAGAGTAAGTGGTGTCTTTGTTTTATTTAAGGATGTACATCCGATACTTGGTACTTTTAACTCCTTTAAATATCTTTCTGTCAAATTAGGAGGTGAATCTATACATAAATGTGATGCAATTAAAAAGCAATACATTGACGAAAACAGCAGTGTAGCATCTATTCACACAATCTCTATGATACCACCCTCTTTTTTTAGTCTTAGTGGATATTACTCCTTTTAAAGTCAAAGCCATTTCTGGCAATAAAAAAGCAACAAGCCTAAAGCAGCAGTCAAAAAAGATAAGTAGTTAGTGAAAGAAAAAAAAAAAAAAAAAAGGAATTTGCTGCCCTGGACAAACTTGCCAGTCCACAAGTGTCAATACCTGAGGAAATTGTTTCCATCAAGTCATGTAGTGATTTTGCATCTGTTTTTGCAGACAAAATTCAAAATGTTTGGCAAATTATCAATTCTTCCTTCTTGAATCAGAATAACACTCATCAGCATGCAGCAAAGACTGATCTGGTAAAGATGATCAAAGCTGAAATCCTTGAGGAAAATGTCTTGCATCGCCACATGCTGCCTCAGTAAACAAATAAATAAACATTCATTGTCTCGTGTTGTTAAAAAAAAGCTCTCAAGCAGTGTAAGAAGACATTTTCTTAGATAAAAGTATGCAGTTACAAGAAAAGGACTTTTATTAAGAACTTGAACAGAATTAAACAGTATTATCAGCACACTTTTCTGAAAGTGAAAATATTCATTGCACTGTATGTTCATTACAGTAGTAACAGATTACTACTACTGGTGAATTAACGTATAAATAGAATTTCACTGTTGTAGGTGGTAGAGGGGCAGCTATCATATATACTGTTTGATAGTTAAAATGGTAAAATAACTATTTTTGCAAGGTTTTGTGTGTTAATCTACATCTACAAAGTGAAATGTATGTAAGTATATCATTTAATACCAGTGATGCACAATATTAGAATTTCTGGCCGATACCAATATCTGATATTAAGATTTGTGATATCACCAATAACCGATACTACTAATGTTGATATTCAATTTTTGTTCACACCAAAAAATGAGTATAAGTAAGCACTGTGAGAACATGAAAACTATTCAAAAGAAGCCCAAACCCAATTAGATCACATATTCTTCTTTATTATGTAACAAAAGTAAAACATGTTTAAACATATTTAACTTTCAAGTGCAGGACCATTGAAGTAAAAACATCTGTGAACTAGCAGCAATATCAAATGTAGAGACGAAGGTGCTAATGTTAGACAATCATCGGTTTTTCACATCGGCTAAATTTGTTCATTGGATCGATACCGATATATGGGAAAAAAACACTAATATTGGCAGACACCGATGTATCGTGCATCCTTATTTAATACTGAAGCAAATATTCACAATTGTGCCTTCAATTGGCAAAGCAGTTGTGTAATTGTATTAAGTTACTTTCCATCATTGCTGCTGCAGTTGTTTACTTATGCAGTTTTATTACACTAACTCCATATTGAAACTCTTCCTCATGCAGGTGTTTATATACTTTATAACTATTTTCCCAATAAAACTGAAATATTTTACAGTCTGTCCAAGTTGCACTTTCCACAACTGATGCATTGTGAGGTCTATTTTAACGCACCAATGTCTCCCACTTCTCTTAGCAGTCATTGAAGCCCACACGCTCAGTAATACGCACAGTTGCAGCAGCCCCTGAACGCACCATCAGGAAGCTGATGACATTCGACGTCGCTCCACCCCGCGTCGTGGACTCGCAGGTGCTCACAGACTGAACCACAGCAGCTGTTCGAGGTCGGAAAACGTTTCAGGGTGAGACAGTGAGCCGGACAGTGTCTTGACTTGGGCCAACAGCAGAAATGGAGAACGGTTTGTCTTCACTCGGCGACTCCAAGCTGGAGCAGGACGTCCGGCAGTGGCTGCAGTATGACCGGGTGAGCTGACAGCTAGCGAGCTAGCTTAACGAGCTGCGAGCGTTGATGGTTAACTGGACCAATTAGACATTACAGACCTGTCCACCGTTATATAAGTTTGTAATCAGACTTCCTGTGATCACAAAATGCCTATAAATGTCACGTTGTGTAGTGTGACCTCTGTATGAATGAAGCAGGTTTGTGTGGTGCTACTTGGAAGCGTGTTGGTTAAATCACAACTCTTACTGCAGATGTCAATAATCGTACATTAAATGATGTCCGAGTGAATGAGTGAAATCAGTTGAGCTCTATTTTTATTTTATTTTTTAAAATCTATGATGTTTTATTTTACAGATCTGTAATTACCCCTGTATTGAAAAATTCTGGAAAAGAAATGACAATAGATGATGACAAACTCGAAGCAGAGTTCAGTGAACTGGTAGTTACAGTCCCAGCTCAGTTGAACATGCAAAAATCTGACATTTGTTCACAGACATGTCAACAGTTCTACATTTACAGAAAACATGACATGTAATTAATACACAAAATTAAAAAGTAGACACATTATGTAATATTTTATTGAATTGTATCCATTCTTTTTAACAACGGGACAATAAGTATTTGTTGTTCCAACACATGGCACCTCTATGACAGAATAGATCACATGAAAGACTGCGTAGGAAATGATAATGACACATTAAGAGTGTGAAATTTCAAGTCAGTGTGTCCAACATTTGTATTGTGTCATGAGACATATGTACACTGTATAGAGTTGTGGAGGGCGCTGTGAAATGTTGTCCAACTCGTCCTGGAAACCATTATGTGACCTATCCATCCGGATCATCATGTGGCAGATTGTGTGTCCTACCATGATTTGTGAGCAGGTTTCTTAGACAACAAATGGTGGAGTTGTGGATATTCATGTGCCTGGCTGTGGCCCTATCTGACAAACCAGCATCTATCATGTCCATTTAGGTTAAAAAGCTGAATTTTAGGTTGGCTTTTTAAAGTCACTGGTCAAAGGAGTGTCTGTGTACTGGTCACACTATCTAATTATCTCTGCCACAACTAACTGGGGTGTGGATTAACTCGATTAACTCGAGGATAGTCACCAGTTGAACAGCTCAAAAACCTGTTTTGCATATTTGCATCCTGCACTTGTAAACTTGAATTTAGATGGACCTGTTTTGTTTTGTTTTTTGATTGATTGTTTGTTTGTTGTTGGTTTTTTATATATACAAAGGATTCACTATTGTCACTGAAATACTTAATACCAAATATCTCTGCTAGCAAGCCAAGCTAAACTATACTGGATTCTGTTGCTTTAATTATATTCAGAGAAATGATCCCTACCTGGAAGAGGCCCTGGTTAAATGAAAGCATCTACTAAATAAGAGAAAATGTAGACAAGCAGAATGTAATTAAAGCTAAAAGGTTGAGATGTGCTATTCATTCATACATTCATTCATTCATTCATTCATTCATTCATTCATTCATTCATTCAAGATTTTGACATACCAAAACATTGTGAAGGAGACACAAACCTTCTGTTTCTCTGGTAGCACCTGAACCTGAACCTTGTACTCCAAAGGACTTTTTTTTCTTCTTCTTCTTCTTTTTTTTTTTTTTTTAAATAATGAGTTTTGTCAATCCATTCACCACCCAGCTAGCAAATCAAAGGTTCCTTTTTTATTCTTTTATAGCTTTGTCCTCCTACAGCACCTAAATAAATGATATCAAGCTCCAGATCTGTCATGTTGCTTATAAACTGAGTACAGCACATCAATTTGTATAGTTACCATGAAGAAAGGTCTGGTTAGTTTGTTCTATTAATACATTAAAAAATGTGAAATATTCACATGCCACGTTTTTTTCCCATTTAGCTGCACTTGTACAGTCTGTACGTATACAGGCTCTTAGACTGATCATTTGTAATTTCACAGAGAACTGTTCATCACATGATGTTAAAGTGGTCACACACACAGACTGTAGCGATACAAACAGAGTCGTTCTTGGCCTTAAAGAGACATGGGATGCCACCAATTAGGTGACATTGGAAAAGGCACCCAGATTTGTTACTGTTAACATTTTAGTGTCAGGACAGTTTGCTCAGGAGTCCACTTGAAGAGGAAGTGCCATACTGAATGGACCCTATTGTAGTGTTTATGGCAGCTCTTGCTAATCAGTCTGACTCTTTTTGTGAACTCTTTGCTTTATTTTGTAAAAACCATAAACATGCTTTTTTCCTAAATTTTAGGGAAAAGCAGATGCTTGTAAGGACAATAAACAGCTACTATAAACTTTTCCCCGACAAAAAGTTATAAGTCAATTGACTCTAAATTTTTTGTTTACCATTTTATTCAGTAATTCATTGTTTAAAAATTGTGTATGTTGGGGCGCCGCTATAGCTCACCTGGTTGAGCTGGTGTCCCATGTGCAGGGCTGCAGTCCCGATGTGGAGGTCATGAGTTTGAATCCCGCTCATGACCCTTTCCACATGACCTCCCCCCATTCTTCTCGCCCTACTTTACTGTCTCTCTCACTAACACTATCCAATAAAGGCACAAAGGCCAAAAAAATAACTTAAAAAAAAAAAAAAGTTGTCTATGTATTTCTTGTGCAGCGTGGTTTTTTTTTGTTTTTGTCATATTCTGCAATAAAAAAAACAACAAATGAATAAAAATCTATTATTTGTGCACAGCTCTGGCTCTTTAAAAGTGAAACACGGAAAGTGACTTGAACTGATCCACTCACCACTATTCTAGCCTGTCCTTTGCACGTTCACAGATCACAGACTCTATCCAAAGTGTTTTTCTAACTAATATTGCCAAAACTGTTCAAGTTCTAGCTTCTGTAATGTGAATAGCTGTCTTCTTTAATGGTACATTAAATGGTATTGTGTTTTGGACTGTTGGTCAAAGCATATATTCACTTATTGAAATGAAATGAAATGAAAAATACTTCAACCCAGAAGGGAAATTCAATATTGTAAAAGCTCACTTTAAAAAAAAATCTATATAACATATATTTTATACAACAATAATAATAATCATTCAGTTAAGGTGAACTTTGTGAAATTGTGATAGTCAGGTTTCTCTATTTTCTGACATTATCAGATGATAATTGACAACAAATTGCAAATTATTAATTGCAGTCTTTTTTTTTTTAAGTTATTTTTTGGGCATTTTTGCTTTTATTAGATAAGACAGTTGAAAGACAGACAGGAAAGTGGGGGAGAAGAATGGGGGAAGGACTTGCAGCAAAGGGCCATGGGCAGGATTCGAACCCATGGCCGCTGCATCGGGGACTATAGCCCCTGTACATGGGCCACCAGCTCAACCAGGTGAGCTATAGCAGCGCCCATTAATGACAGTCCTCATCTGAAAATGAACGTCAACTGGCAACGCCAAGAATTTCTTTGAAAGCCAGACTGAAAACTGTTTTTTGATAATGCTGATCTGATCAGCTAATGACAAGGCTGTCGCTGAAGTTTAAATGCCAGTTTTTAAAATAAATGTTTATAATTGATGTAAGAGGCTTGTATGTATAACTAAATGTGACAATATTTTTCTTCCCCAGAATCCCAAAACGGTGTCAATGGTGCAGGACCTGGTGAAGAACAAAGCGGTGGAGGCTCTGAAGAAATGTTTCGCCTCCAGGATGGAGTTTGGCACAGCAGGACTGAGAGCTGCCATGGGCCCCGGAATATCCTGCATGAATGACCTCACTATCATCCAGACCACGCAGGTCGGTTAATAGATAAGCTGCAGCTGCACGTTAAGCATCGAGTCACATGCAAAGCCAGACATGCACATTATTGATTTTGATTCTCCGCTGTTTGAAGCAGCTGAGGAACACTAACTTATTGTTGTTGACTGCAGAGCTCACATCTCACCATGCTGTCACCGATTATTACACAGACCTGCAACTACAAACATGCATGTAATATTTCAGAGTACAGTCATGGACAGAAGTATTGGTACCCCTGGAATTTTTCCAGAAAATACACCATTTCTCCCAGAAATTGTTTGTTTGCAAATGTTTGTGGTATGCATACGTTTGTTTTCTTTATGTGCATTGGAAAAACACAAAAAAGCAGAAGAAAAAAGCCAAAATTTACAAGATTTTACACAAAACTCAAAAATGGGCCGGACAAAATTCTTGGCACCCTCAATTTAATATTTGGTTGCACACCCTTTGGAAGAAATAACTGAAACCAATCACTTTCTATAATCATCAACAAGCTTCTTACACCTCTCTGGAATTTTGGACCACTCTTCTTTTGCAAACTGCTCCAGGTCTCTCAGATTTGAAGGGTGCCTTCTTGCAACAGCAATTTTGAGATCTCTCCATAGTGTTCAATGGGATTTGGAGCTGGACTCATTGCTGGCCACTTCAGAACTCTCCAGTGCTTTGTCTCCAACTATTTCTTGTTGCTATTTGAGGTATGTTTTGGGTCATTGTCCTGCTGGAACACCCATGACCTCTGACGCAGACCCAGCTTTCTGACACTCGGCCCCACATTGTGGCCCAAAATATTTTGATAGTCTCCGGATTTCATGATTCCTTGCACACCGTCAAGGCACCCAGTGCCAGAGGCAGCAAAACAACCCCAAAACATCTTTGAACTTCCACCATGTTTGACTGTAGGTACTGTGCTCTTTTCTTTGTAAGGCCTCATTCCGTTTTCTGTAAACAGTAGAATGATGTGCTTTTCCAAAAAGCTCTACCTTAGTCTCATCTGTCCACAAAATGTTCTCCCAGAAGGATTGAGGGTTACTCAGGTACATTTTTGCAAACTCCAGTCTGGCTTTTTTATGTCTCTTTGTCAGCAGTGGGTTCTCCTCAGTCTCCTGCCATTGCGCTTCTTCTCATTCAGATGACGACGTATGGTCCGAGCTGACACTTTTGCATCCTGAATCTGCAGGACAGCCTGAATTTGTGTGGAAGTTGACTGAGGATGTTTATCCACCATTCTAACTATTCTAAGCATTCTTTCATCAGTGTCTCTCTTTCGTCCCCATCCAGGGAGATTAGCTACAGTTCCATGGGTTATAAACTTCTTGATTATATTACGCACAGTGGACAAAGGAACTTCAAGGTCTCTGGAGATGGTCTTGTAACCTTGAGATTGTTCATATTTTCCACAAGCTTGCGTCTTATGTCCTCAGACACTTCTCAGCTCTTCTTTCACTTCTCCTTGCTTGGTGTGACACACACAGGCACACAACACAAAGGTTGGGTCAACTTTTATACATTCTAGCTGGCTTCAGGTGTGATTTCTATATTGCCACACCTGTTGCTTGCCACAGGTGAGTTTAAATGAGCACCACGTGCTTGAAATAAAACGATTTACCCACAGTTTTAAAAGGGTGCCAACAACTTTCTCTGGCCAATTTTTTGAGTTTTGTGTAAAATTCTGTACATTTTCGCTTTTTTTCCTCTGCTTTTTTTGTGTGTTTTTCCAATGCACATAAAGTAAATAAACACATGTATAGCAAAAACATTTGTAATTGTAACAATTTCCGGGAGACATAGTGTATTTTCTGGAAAAATTCCAGGGGTGCCAATACTTTTGTCCATGACTGTATGTGTTCAATGTGAAGCGAAAACCTATCTCAAGCCTTCAGCTGGTATAAAACAAAGCTCTTTGCTTGTTAGCAGTAAGTTTTCTAACTGATTTCAAGACTTCATAGCTTAACTCACACTTATATTGCTGAACTGCTGCTAACCTATGAGCCAGAGTGCAGCCTCAGATCCTCAGTCCTTAATAACTGTCTTTAACTTTATCTTATTTCCTTCCTGACAGGGTTTCTGCTGCTACCTGGAGCAGAGTTTTGGGAACCTCAAAGAGCGAGGGGTGGTGATTGGGTTCGACGCTCGGGCCCACCCTCCCAGCGGGGGCAGCAGCAAGCGGTTCGCCAGCTTGGCTGCAGCTGTGTTCATCAGCCGAGGGGTGCCTGTTCACCTCTTCTCTGACATCACCCCTACACCTTTTGTGGTAAGCACTGGAATTTCTGTGCTTTCCTCATTTCGGTTCTTCCGACATTGCACCACACATTTGGCTCAGTCACAAACAATAAAACGGCATAAAATTGAAGATTTTTGTAATGTCTGTGTTTACACATTACATTTATGTCACCTATGTGGAGTGAGTTCATGAAAGCCAACAGATTCTTAAGTCTGGTTAGTTTGTCAGTTTGTCATGTTTGCTGGTGGGGTGGATGACAGTGGGACTGAAGCTACGGGGCAAATTCCATTCAAAACGCTCACTTCTACAAAGTATACAACACGTTGCATAATGCACATTTGATTCACCAGGTTATATTCAGTTTCAGACCTGTGAAGGAGGAACCATTCATTTAACTCTTTGTCTGTTCTGAACATGTATATTCTGCATAGTGCAGCTCAAAATCATACAAAATATTCTCTTTTCAGCCCAAAGTTTATATAGGTTTATATATATAGTTTAAACTTCTGCACCACTCAACAGTGCAATGAATCTCTGAAGCAACACACTTTTTGCCTGTTTCAAACTGAGAATGACCTGCAACTGAAAATTGCGAAAACAATCCAATTCGAGATCACTGAGAGTTACTGTTGGCCTCTTTCATCATTCTAACATTGCGTTACTCATTTCTCTTGTGTAATTGTGGGAACGGTGAGTAGAGAGTAAGATGCATCTTTGTAATTAAAACAGAGTCAGAAACAGCCAATATTGATTTAAACTTAGTTTAAGTTTTCACCTGAATTTCATCTTTTCATGCATCTCGTATTTGATTTGATTCCTGATTCCTGATTCTGTTCCCCAACCGCAACGTAAGGATAGTGATGATATTATGCCTTTACATCTATTGACAGTTTATATTTAGTTGTCTTTGTGTGTTTTTTGTCTTATTTGCCCAATATTGCAGATTATATATGATCTACTATTTTAGTTTTCTGTCCATCTCCCTGCAGCCTTTCACAGTTTCTCACCTGGGTCTGTGTGCTGGTATCATGGTTACCGCCTCTCACAACCCCAAACAGGACAATGGCTACAAGGTAACACCTACTTATTTAGCATTGGGCTTAGCTTTTTCTGGCTGTTTGAATGATGTATCCCTGAATTGTATCACCAAATTTAAGGTTTGCCAAATCTCTCAGTCAGTAGTTGTTTGTGACAGTAATTGCTGTTTTATTAATTTAAACATAGCAACAATCCATTTAATTTGCTTTTCTAATCATTTCTGCATCATATGTTTTTGCGTTTCTCTGTTTGTGTCCTAGGTTTACTGGGAGAACGGTGCCCAGATTGTGTCTCCTCATGACAAAGGTATCTCTAAAGCCATTGAGGAGAACCTGGAGCCTTGGCCTGAGTCGTGGAACACAGAGGAGGCCCTGAAGAGCCCCTTGCTCAAAGACCCCTATGAAGATATCAACAAACAATACTTCAAAGCCATCCAGAAACACTGTCATCACAGGTGCTCCATAGATAAATTACCTGTTGTACAGCACACACAATTACAAACCCTTGAACCCTAAACTTTCTTCCACTGATGATTCTATTAATTATGTGTGGAAAAAAGAACACATCCTAACTCAGAGTACAGTTTCTTATTGTAGCTTCTACTTTGTTTCTTCACAGGGAGATAAACAAGAGTTCACAGGTGAAAATTGTGCATACATCTGTGCACGGCGTTGGTCACACATTTGTCCAGTCAGCGTTCAAGGCCTTTGATCTTCATCCTCCATACGCTGTAGAGGAACAGAAAGACCCAGACCCGGAATTTCCCACCGTCAAATATCCCAACCCTGAGGAGGGAGAGGGAGTCTTGGTGTGTACCGGTCATTCACACAATGTGTACATACATCACATCCAACCATATATAGTAGATGCTGTGTTTTTGCTGATGGTGCTGTATGTGCTTGTTTGTTTTGCAGACATTGTCATTTGCACTGGCAGAGAAGGAGGGGGCCTCAGTGGTGTTGGCCAATGACCCCGATGCTGATCGGCTGGCCATTGCTGAGAAGCAGGAGAGGTGTGTGTTTGTGCATGTAAAGTTTGTGTGTTATTATTACCTTTAATAATATTTGACTAATTCCACTATAAAACACTTAGCAGTGTTGGATTGAAAACCAGCCTGTGGTAATGTTTTTTTCACATTATGTTGCTATATTACTCTTTTTCCAGTCTACACATACTCCAATCAGCACTGAAGCTATGAATTTCACACTTCTTTGCAAAGGAGTTTTAAAATGACTGTAATGAATGACAGACTAAGTTGAAGAGCTAGGTGTATGGATGGTGAGTTCACAACAAAAGTCAATTAAAACCAGGGCCATTGCCTCAATTTTGAAGGTTGTGACTCTTGAAAGTTATTTTGGAACCAGTCAAAAAGCTTGTGAAACATTATGAATGTACTGTATTTTGAACATGTAAATATTTGCTTAGCAATATAACTATCTGCTGTGTAAGTTTATTTGCCTTCATCACTGACTAAAAGCTTTTTACAGCCTTCTTCACTTTGTAAAGCATATACAGTAACTCAAGTGAGCAAAGCAATAAAGCCAGCAATGTCCATTAAATCAGTTTGATTCATTTTACTGAAATCTGATTTTATTTAGTGTAGGCCTGAAACAGATACGTTTGAAAACATTTTAATGTAATTATAAATTATAAACCCTTTCGACTTAAAACCCCTAAAATTCCCCGAACCAATACTAAGGGCATGACCTCTGTGTCCTCAAAGGTACCTACAGCTGCAATAAAACACTTTAGTACAGCTTTGATCATCTGGTTAAACACTGTATAAGGCTGTGTTTGTCGTTGCCTGCACTCCTGTAACCTGAGTCCGTCTCTGTGTCAGTGGACAGTGGCGAGTGTTCAGCGGTAACGAGTTGGGAGCGCTGCTCGGCTGGTGGATATTTCACTGCTGGAGGCAACAGAACCCCGATGCTGCTGCTGTAAAAAACCTCTACATGCTGTCGAGCACCGTCTCATCCAAAATACTGCGCGCCATCGCTCTGAAGGAGGGCTTCCACTTTGAGGTAACATGTTGTGGAACGTCTGTAATTAAGTGAATTCACACAGACATCATGTATTTCAGACTATTTATTGCATTATCATCATATACATATGGGCCTTTGCTCAAAGACTAAAAGTTAAATTAGAACTGAACATTTATAGGTTTCAGCTTCACCCAACTTACGGCAGTAGAAAGAAACTAATGTGAACTGGTCATCTAGAAAGTAACTCTATAGTCACAGACAGACATCCCCCAGTCTCTTAATATATATTCTGCCTTTGCCTGAAGCCAGTAGGAAAACAGACAGCATTTGTTCATGTTTGTGAAAACAATTCTTCTCAGACTCGACATAAAATATGTAAAGGTCAAATGAAAGGAACACAGTAAACATGGACTTGCACTTCCCCTCTTTTAGCATATCAATGCTAACTAAATCACATATTTGACTTTAAACACAGTGAAACTAAATTATATAAAATTAAACAAATCAACACACCAACAAACTTTCTGATTCTCAAAGTAGTTTTGCAAAACACTGTATTTGTGCTAACATATGTTTAAAAGAATAAACAATAAAAGACATTTAAAAGAAGTTTCACACTTGAGCATGAGCATAAAAATCCTTCTTTATCTGCCTTTAATCTATCTTGAAAATAGAACAACCTGTTTGTGAATGGAGCCAAAGATAGAAGACATATTAGAACATTTTTTATCACAGCACTGTTTCTGATAACTGCCTTTCATTCATTGGCCTTACAAATTTCAAATGGGCTAAACTTGTTTCTCCTTTTCACTCTTGCCCTCACTTGAGCTCGAATCAAAGGCAGAGCTCAGTTCCAGCTGAGCCCAGTCTCTGAACAGCGCTTTGTTAATTTGTTTCTGAGAGTACCATTTTGTCTCTCTCTCTCCTGCCCCTAAACTGGGAAGGTGATAGATTCAATGTTCAACCCCTAAGTATTTGTTCAGTTCTTACACAGCTGAGCATATTGCTATGATCAGAAATGATTTTTTTTGTTGCTAGATGTTATGCCCTCATGATCCAAACATTGCTGCGTTTCCTGCGACAAGGAGACAGCCTTAGCTGTATTTTTAGTTTATCGTTATCATTTGCTGTGAAATGATTCCAGTAATAGTATTTGAAGGGATTTGTGAATGTTAATTAATGATAAACTTAAAGGCACTCAAGACATGCCTTTAAGTTGCAGTGGTGAAAACAGGCTTCACCACTTACAACATCAAACTACACCTATTGGTTACTGTCATTAATGTTTTCAGATAAGATAAAATGCAACTTATTAACACCAACAGAATTTTTTTTGCCAGATTTTGCTGGCAAAATTGCATAACATAAGAAAATGTGGTGCCTACTAAAAAAGCAATAAGATACACGTATGATACATTACAGAAAATGAGAACAAGGAAGTGAAAATAGGTGTAGAACACAAAAAGTGATAAGGAATACTGCAAAGTCTTACCAAAATTTCTCACGTTGTTTGAACAGGAGACGCTAACAGGGTTCAAGTGGATGGGAAACAGAGCCAGAGACCTTTTGGACCAGGGCAAGACTGTTCTGTTTGCCTTTGAGGAAGCCATAGGTATGAACACACACATACACGCGCGCGCGCATACGCAGAAATGAATGTTGTGCATTGTACAGTCACGAGGTAGATGTCCTGATTTATTCTTGTTGTCATCACATTAAAAGGATTTATGCACAAAATGTTTACAGTGTCACAAGATGAGGAAATGTGATCTGTCTACAAGTGTTTAAGTGATATAAATTCATGTGGAGATAAATATGTGCCTCATAACCTAGCCACCTGTATGACAGCTGCAGGCATGGACCAAAAGAAAATGTAATTACTCCATGTCTGCTATTATTGCAGTTAAATAAAAGGAAAAGCATTAAAAATATAAAGTATATTTAGAAGGTTGCAACATTTGGTTTTCATTTAAGCAGTTTCTATTTAAAAAACATTAAGGTGAGCTTTTAAAAGAGGAATATCATTATTTTTCTTATTTTACATGTCCCTAACCTGTTGCCATATCATAATATGCACTCTTACAATATATCACATAATAGACCTATCCCTGGGGCTAGGCGTCGCTTGCTTCACAGTTAATAGTTTCAAAATCAATAGGATATTTGAGATGGTTGGCCTTCAGGGTTGAAACAACATATTCTGCAAATAGTGCTATGAGCGTAGAAACAATCATGCCAGCAGTCATTGGTCTTCCAAGTGTAATTAGTATACCCCAAATTTACATAACAGTTTTTACTTTTTCGGCTCCAGTTAATACCCTTCATCCTGGAGTCAAAAGACAGCTCTTATTCATTTCTTCAGAAGCCTTGTTTGGTCGACTGAAGCATGAAGCTCCCTGTTTACACCAGTGTTCTAACCATGTTGCACAGCCTTCATTATCTGTTAACGGGAAAACATGAATCAAATTAAAGTAAATATGTCCAAATATCAGACTTATGTCAGCTGAGGACATTGGTCTTGGCTATTTAAAGTTCTGAACCCTGCCTACGGTCAAACACATGGCACTGGGTTGAAGTTAAATGTCATTCGGGGTTAATATGAGAGCAGTCCAGCCACACATACAAGAACACATAGTTTAGGGCATTCCCACATAACAAGATTATGACGCTGTAATTGGAATGGCATGCCCTTGCACACTCTGTTTCTAAAAGTCGTGACATCTTACTACAGCAGCTGGAGGTTTACACATACTGGGAATGAGCTGAAAGCGTGTGTGCATGTGTGTGTGTATTCCAGGTTATATGTGTTGTTCTGCTGTATTGGACAAGGATGGAGTGAGTGCTGCAGCTATAGCAGGAGAGATGGTTTCCTATCTGGCCACTAAAAGCACCAGTCTCTCCCAACAACTCACCACCATCTATAAAGAGTAAGACATACCGATATATACGTAACACTTGGCTGAATTTGGATTCCGTTATTTACTCTACCTCTGTGTATTTTCGTTGTCAGGTATGGATACCACATCAGTAAGAACTCCTACTTTATCTGCCATGACCAAGAGGTGATCCGCAGTCTGTTTGAGCGCCTTCGCAACCACGAAGGCCAGAAGGACTCATATCCAACTGAATGTGGTCGTTTTTCCATCTCTGCTGTACGAGACCTGACCACTGGCTATGACAGCAACCAAGCAGATAAAAAGGCGGTGAGGGAACAAATTAACACCTGCAGTTCATACATTGGGTGCACAACAATCCTCTGACATCCGTTGAGGGTTTTTTTCTGGTCAGACAGTGTGTTACCTGCCATTAAACTGTTTTTTTGTTGTTGTTTTTTTTGCATGTTTTGTTTTTAGTGTATAGTTGATAGTGGAGAGAAAGCATGGGGATGAACAAAGGGGACTGCAGTTATGGAGCCTAGACAGATTTTTTTCTTTGCTTTGTAGTTATGTGGTGTTTGCCTTAACCAGTTCAGTTTGACTTGATGTTCAGTAACACTTGACCCCTTTTGTCAAAGTGTTCAGCTGGACTTTAAAATTGAGTTGATCTTCCATCTTGTTTGCTCCTTTATCACTCCTTTTCTGTCCTCTCTCAGGTTCTTCCCACTTCCAAATCCAGTCAGATGATTACCTTCACCTTCTCTAATGGTGGTGTGGCCACCATGAGGACCAGTGGCACAGAGCCAAAAATCAAATACTACACTGAACTCTGTGCTGCTCCTGGTAACAGGTAGGTCGCTGGTAGAGACCAGGCCAGCAAGTGCAGCTAATGTGTATTTTCATTTTCAATTATGATTATTCTCTTGATTAAGTGTTCATGCTATGAAAATCATGATTTCCAAAATGGCTTTATATGTATCGTTGGTCTGACAACAGTCCAAAACCCAAAGATATACAATATACAGTGATAGAGAAAAACAATATATTCTCACACTGCAGAGGCTAAAACAAATAGTTTCTAAATTTTTGTTTGAAAAATAGTTGCTTTTTAATTTTTTGTGATTTAACTAATTCCCTCAGCTCTTAATGTCTGAGCTAGAAAAGTGCACCTGTAGTTAGTCCCTCTATCATATTTACTCTCTGTTGTCTCTCTCTTGGTCTCTATCAGTGATGTGACGCACCTGAAGAAGGAACTGGATGACTTGGTTGATGCCATCGTTGAAAACTTCTTTGAGCCAGAGAAGAATAAACTGCAGCCGAAGCCAGAGTAGCACTGATAGACAACAACAATCAGGACAAGTTGTGACCAGCATTTCACATAATGTCTTAATTACTCAAATACATTCTTGGTTTATTACAGGCTTGGGTTTGATTTATAACTACATTAATTGACAGTTTACTGCATTGTTTTAAAAAAATATTATTATTTTGCCAGTGTGATAAAGATAACATACTGTTTTCTACTATAATTTTTTTTTTTTTAATAACAATCTAACTTCCACTTTGACTTTGTTTAGTGACACATCTGTTTTTGGAGTTGTAGTTAAAGCTCCAAAGCCCATATACCATTCAGCAGTCTTAATGCCTCACAGCTTCATATTTTGGATTCAGTTTACCTCGGTGCTGGAAATGTTAAACCACAACCGAAACGTTTTGGACCGATCTACATCCTCAGGCATTCCTCTTTTCAGACTGTGGTGTTAGATACACAGATTACTGTACATCACTGTTATTAACTATTATGCATTCCACACTGTGCTTCAGCATCAACTGCACTGCTGCTATTGTGAAGAGTTACAGGAGAGTGTAAATGAGAACTGCTAGAACTGTTATCATAACTTTACTTGGAACCTAACTGTATGCTGTAACCCAGTTGTTAAACTTTGAATGTCTAATATCTTGGTTAAAAGGAAGGTATAACATGGGAAGTGACCGTAGAAAATTTAAAGCTTTAAATCAGTGCCTGTTATGAGAAGAAAAAGAAAGGTCACTGCAGTTTGCTGGTGAGTAAAACGATGAAGCCTAAAAGCTTAGAGCACCACCATGTGGAGGCGTTGTGCATTAAGTCAATCCACCCACTGGTCAGTCCTTGATGTGAATAAATGTTACAACTCAAAGGGACTTCTGACAACATAGAGTTAAAAATGAAAATAACATTTTGCTCAAAAATATGAGTGAATTTATTTTACTGACTGCTCTAGAGGTGCATGTATCAGCCTGCCATTATGTGTCTGGTAATCCAAAATACTGTACTGAAAACACAATTTTACTCAATAAATACGACTGGTAACATGGCACAATACAAAAGCAGTCTGATGAGCTTAATTTACACTCATCTGTGTTTTAAATTAATCCTTCAGTTCGTACAGAGACGTCGCTCCTGCATCCTTCTGGCAGCACACGCTTGCAGCATGCATTTGTCATGCCCCATCTGAGTATAGAGAGGAGAGGAGGGAGGTAGCATTGGCCCTGTCTTCTATATTTAACTCAAGCAAGAGACAGCTAGAGCTATGTAAAGGTCTCTCTCTCTCTCTCTCTCTCTCTCTCTCTCTTCTGGGTATATGCGTGTGTACTTGTGTGGTCGCTCTGACACACCACAGCCTTTCTTGGCTACTCTTCTGCCGCTACGCACACCGGACCGGAGTGAACTAACAGGTAAGAAGGCTGTAGCGGCATGAGAAGAAAATGAAATGATGGTTAAATGAATAAATTATCTGTCGTGCAACTTGAGTTTAACATACATCACTTGTATACGGTTTACTATCTGCGCATACCCGCGCGTAAAAAGAACTTGTCGTGCGTAAAATTCAATAATCAGTCAGATACGACATGTGCCGCCGCGCTCCTCTCCTGTATATAACGTAGTTTTCACTTCCGCATGATGTTGTCGCGCAGCAGACGGAGCTATTTCGTATCCTCCACTGTCTGGTTTAATTTAAGGAGTTATGAATATTGCAAGGTCAAGCATGAGATAGGTAAGAAAACGCTTTGCTTTTACTGTTCAGGGTCGTTTTGGTTACACGGTGGGCGTTATCCGTTCATCTCCACAGACATTCCCCTCCTCTCCTGCTATTTACCTTATTGTACGTTTTCTCACTGATCTCACATGCAAGTCAACGTCCCATCTTGTGAAAAATGTAGGACGGGGGAGATTTGCTGGATCTGTCTCTTCCCTCTCTGACGCGCAGCCGGCTAAATATGATGTTCACAGTACAACCGTCTTGTGTTTGTGTGTCCTTGAGTCTACATTGGTGGCCCAGCTATGGGTCTTTAGCAAGGTAAACAACAGCAGGTGATCATTTTGTAGTACCCTCTAAATGACCCCCTGAATACCGCACAAGCCTCAGCTGATTCAGTGTCCCTAGAAAACTGTCCTGCTTCTACACGCAAAACAAAGTGGAGCAGGCATCCAGCTACAACAATCAGTTCTAATTTGCAAAGCAAATGTTTGCTTGTTTATCTTCCTCTGAAATCTTACAAGATACACAGATATACATGCCTCTGGCTGTGCTTTTCTGACCTCTAACGGATGTTTTACAGGCAGTATTCAGGCAGGCAGCCACCTCTGGTCACAGAAACTATGGAGGGACTGTACTTTGAGGTGAAGCCAAGAAGGAATGAAGCCCCGAGGCCAGGGACCTCTGACAAACCCTGTCCTAATCTTACTTCAAACCACCGCTCCTGTCCATCATTTTCAAAACTCACCTCTTCCACGCAGTACCTTCAGAAACATGCTCAGGAGAGGATGGCGGCATGGGGGGGAAAGCTGGAGGAGGAAGGAGAAGAGGAGATACGATACCAACTGACAATGATCGGCGCTCTGCCAGTCCACCATCTGACCACCATGGCCATGCTTCCCTGGGTGGTGGCTGAGATCAGCAGATCTCGGTCACTGGAGAAGGATCTGGGCTTTGGGGGTGGACAGTCGGGCCCTGCCACATGTGATCAGGCAATTTGTCTGTGTGTGTCGGCATCGTGGGTGCGGTGTGTGTCCGTTCTGGGACAGGGAGTTGTATGGGACCCGCTGACACACACTGTGCTGTTTGAGTGTCGTCCTCACCAAGTGACAAAGTTAATTCACAACAGCCAGGAGCCCAGCAGCTTCGCCTGTCTGGTGAGAACCAAACCGAACTGTGCCTGCTATGTGTTCCAGTGCCAGGACAGCACCAAGGTAGGTGTGCAAAATCAAACAAGAGTGTCATGAACCATAGATATCTCTTGTCTGCCTCATCTGTAAAGATATGCTCTAAAACACCAATATCACAGTTACAAAGTACAGCTACATAACATGAGGTGAGTTTGACAAATAAACCAGACTGGAGATTAAACTGATTCCTCAACAGGCAGGATAACTGAGACAGAGACAAAGCTTGAATTACAACCGTGTACTCCAGACCTTATTATCACACCAGATTATGTGTTATATGAAATACTAATTAGTAAGATTCAACTCAAGATTCAAAAGTGTTGTGACAACTGAAAGAGCTCCAAACAGGGCAACTTTTCTTGTACAGCAGTGGCAGAAGCACTGTTTAAATAAATGCCTATATTTCACCAGTGAAGGGGAGCGGTCTCATAACACGGAGCAGCATATGTCAGTCATAAACACATCAACAGAAGCTTAGCCTTTAAAAGTACACAGAGATGTGACATGTCACATTAGTTTCCAGAGCAGAGAAGTAAATATTAGAATGACGTGAGAAACAAGGATCAGCCTGGGAACAACTTCTTCCTTGTATTTATATGTAGGACAAAAAGCTGCCTGAGCACTCGGTGTGACCGCGTCAGTATTTATTATGACATCCCCACCGAGAGTAACTGGATCTGGCTTTGGCACGAATGCCACCCGTGTATACTTTTACTGCATTCAACAACACAAGCAAGCACCAATGAAGTCCACTAATAGTGTGTGTACCGACACACTCTGCTGACCAACACATCCCTGACCTCTATTCCTCTCACCTCTCCTCCACATGGCACTCATGTCCGAAAAGCCCCCCGTATGAACAGTGGAGTTGCAGCTGGTGTCTGGGTCAGGCCACAGACATTCGATAGCATGACATGCCCATCATACCAAAAAGTTGGACGAATTCGGGAGCTGGAGACAATGAAGGATATTCAATATGAAACCGAATGAGTCAAGGAAGTCAAAATCCAGTTTGACCTTAATCTCAGACTGTCTCCTGCTCTTCATGAAGCACATGCGCACAAGTCAGGGCTCACATAACAAATACCCGCAGGCTTTGAATATATGAACCACCTGCACTGACTGTGTGATTTACTGTAAATATCACTGAGAGAATATCAGGCAAAAAAACACATTTACAGATCAGTTGTACTTGAGCATGCAAACACAGGCTGTTGACACGTCTGGATGTTTGTGTGTGTGTTTTCTTAAGAGAAAGCTTCACATTAACCACGCAGGATGTGGAACCATGTTACCATGGAGACCACTTCCTGTGGCCCGGCACCTGTTGTGATGTGTTTGTTGTGGAGTTTGCGTGCATGCGTGTTAGTGCTTGATGTTATCGCTGTAATGTTTGACCCTTTCAAAAACATGACGATGATGTCAGGCTGACCACCTGTCGCTATAGCTCTGTCACACTTGGCACACACACACACACACACACACACACACATACACGCACGAATGCAATACTTAGGCAATACTGGGAAGCTTGAAATATTTCGCTGTTAATACTTTTTGTCTTTTTATTAGGTCTTGTGATATGAGTTTTATTTACCAGAATAAACATGGAATAACAACAACAAGCAAGAATAAGAATCAGAAGTGACCATGGCCCTGTGCACCAAAGTCACAAACACCATAACATTGGTAAAACATTTACGTTGCCCAGTCTCATTAATTTGATTAAGGGAATTTACAATCTAGACTACAAAACGGTTAGCTGAAAAAGAGGAGTAAACATCATGCAGAGCAACCAAGCAGAGATTTCCTACTGTAGTCATGCAACTGATGTCATATGTACAGAGCAGCAGCATCACAGATTTACAATATATACCGTCAAGAGAACAAAATTGTAAACATATGAAGAATATGATCCAGAGTGCACCTAGCAACTGCTAGGTTTTGCCAAACACATAGAACCTGAGTTACTCGACCTTCTCACCACCTGAAAACCTAGAAAGAGGACAGACTACACAAATACACAAGAGGCAAAGCTCAAGCACATAACTCACTCATATGGGAGAGGTAGACAAGGACAACACTTGTGAGAGAAAGAACCAGAAGGAAGAGCTGAATCTGCTATTGTACTAAGATGCATCTCATCTGGAACAGGGCAACAACAGCCAGGGGAAAGGTCTGATAATCAGGCCAGAGAAGCCTGAGTGAAAAGAGAGGAAGCAGTAGACACAGAGCTTGGATGCTCATGTGTTTGGGGAACAACAAACAGTCTTGTCTACGTGGACTCTACTGTTAGTACTAAACATAATAGATTAAATATGCTGGTGGGACTGTGCTAACAAGGTCTAAAGTATTGAAGAATAAGCAACTAAGTGAAGTTTAAGACAAAAATATGAATTTTCCTCATTAGAGTCAGAGTGTCTGATGCCAGCAGGGAGGTTATTCCAGGAGAAGGGGCAGCATAGGAAAAAGCCCTGCAGGGAAATGACTTCTTTTTAGCTCTGGAGACAGACAGGAGGCCTTTGTTCTGAGAGTGGCGAGCACGGGACGGATTATAAGGTTTAAGGAGATCAGATAGGTATGGAGGAGCATACTTATTTAGGATTTGAAGTCATGCGTATGGAGCCAATTAAGACAAGCTAAAAACTTTTTAACTAAATTTAGTTGAACTTGTAGCTGCTGCATTTTGAATCATTTAACAACTTTTAGTACAATCAGGTGGCAAGCCCAAGGAAAAAAAACGTTACACAATCAAGTATGGATGAAACAAAGGCATGAATTAGCATCTCTGTTTGAGGAATGTACAGACTTTGAGCGATCACACAGTTGTCAAGAGTTACTGTTAATTTGCCGAACTGGTGTTTATGTCAGGCCTGGCTGATAGCTAGAATTTCAGTTTGTGAAAACATTCAACCACAGACACACAAATTCACACTCCTCATCTGCGATCACTGTCACTTTCCAGTGGGGGAGGTGACAGTAAGCAGCTCACAATTTCTTGTGTGCTCGTTATGTTCAATGTTCAAATGTGTTTTTTTATTGGCTTGGAGTTCTAACTAGAGCTACAGGAAACTGCAATCACATCTTTCTCAGTTGGACTGTATTCTAACAGGCACATTATGGACTCTTGTGATATTAAATGTCAACCTTTTTTTCTTCATTGTAAATTAATTTCTGAAAAAAACATACAAAGTTATGCATAAACTTACGCCAGCAGACTAATTATGATGATTTTATTGGCTGTATCATATTTTGATAATGTAATGCAAAAATTTTAAAAGATTTTTTTTTAAGTTGACAACATAAATGGAACATTTCTGGTGTCTGTCAACAGAAAAACAGAACGTAATTGTATTTCCTCCCATGAGTGTTGGCCAGCTGTGTTTGAAGGAAAAATCAGATTGCAAATTGAGTGCTTAAAATTAGCCACAAAAAAAAAAAAAAGCTCATTGACTATAGAACCCATGTAGTGCAGGGAAGGAAGTATTTAACCACCACTGAAAGATTTCTTCTTGTTGCTGAACTACTTGCTTGTAGGAGAATGAAAAGGGCTAAATACTATGTGAAGATGTGCTAACTAAGGTTCCTAAAACTGTAAAAAGGTTTGACTTGTGATAATTTCGATCTGCTGTGATTTGTCTTGTCCCCTGTTGCATGATCTTGCATTGTGTTTTTTGTCAGTGTGTGTGTAAAGAGAGATGTGGTCCATGAAATCTGTTACAAACAATATTTGCTTGTGATAAAAATAAACATTGTGGGAAGAAGTATCATCAGTTTTTAATTTAAGCACTGCAGAGATGAAGAGAAACTTCCTCTTCAGTGTCAGGGGACAGAAAGGCTCTCAGGAGGTCTTTGGGGTTTTCCCTTCTGCTGGAGCGGTTTAAAATATAACCACTGGGTGTCACCACAGAGGTGGGAAGAGTTCACAGTGTCTCAGGTCAAAAGCACTGTACAAGTACTCATTTCATGATAATGATTAAAGAGTAGATACGGTATTAGGGTTTTTGATTGGCGTTCACTAATTGGTCGGTCAAAGGCACTGAAAGCTTTTTTGCTCCTTAAGTAATGAAAACTCATTGTTCACAATCAATAACCTTTTCTTTTGATGTGACTTTGTAGTAATTGCACTAGTTGTTAGATGGTTGTCTTAGTTTGATTTGGTAAATAAATACCTAACTATTCTCAGTTAGATGTCAATGCATGATTAAGCTACATTCAAATGTATATTTTTTTGTTTTTTTACACACAATTCATTATTATGATGTTAGATCTTCCAACCAAATACAAAGGAATCTAAAATTTTAAACTAAATAGGAATCTAAACCCAACAATTCATCTTTATTAGAGGTCAGTTAATATTTATGCACACGAAACAATATCATAGTCCCCTTTCATCTACAGAATATTCTCAGCCTGAAAAATATGCCAAAAAAAACCCTCAATAAACTAATACTTTAACAGATTTTTAGTGGAAATGGCAATTCTTGTATTCCTTTTCACTGAAAAAAAAAAGTAAAAATGATAGTTTAATTTCTGCTATGGTCTATACTGAGCAAGCATGTTCCCTAATGTCTGGAGAACAGGATTTGTTGGCTGTAGCATCACAATACTTACTAACTAATGTTGTGACACATCTCACTTTAAGTTTAAAAAAATGTCAACTCTTGCCATATTTTACTTGTGTATTTTGCAATTTTGAAAATGTTTATTTATATATTATTTGCTATTTTATTAAGTATTTAAAAGTCATTTTCAGTTATGGATTTTCATTAAGTCATATAACTGCACAAGCTATTCACCAGTCTTATATAGAAAAGGGGGAGAAACGTAGTCAGTGTGAATTCAATAATCATTTAATAGCAACAAGTGGATTCAGACCAGATATGACCTGTAGTTTTCCAAATTTATTCCATTTCAAGATATGAGGATGAGATCAGCTGTAGAAACTGTAACAAGTTCCCTCCTGTGGCTGTGAAACTTGACACTAAATTTTATCAATTGTTGACCAGAGGACCTTGACAATA